TGACACAGACCACAACCTACTGGCAAATAGATTTGAGACCCAAGCTTAAGCATGTAGAAAAAAAGTAACATTAAAAAGTAGGAATTTTCAAAACAGATTTTCTTTGATTATTATGAAGCGCTTGGAAAGGCACCCACCAAATTCAGACGTGAAGGAAGAATGGTGCAACATCAAGGAAGTAGTAACAATGTTTTGAAAGAAGAGAGAAAAGAACGAAGGAGAGAGGGTAAGAAAGAATGGATGTCAGAAGAAATTCTGGACAAGATTGAAGGAAATTGGAAATTATTAATACTGAGGAAGAAAGGAATAAGCATTAGAAGATTAATAAATTAAACAAATATAGCAAACGAGCTCCTGGGTATGGCTATGGCATGTGCAAAACCAAATTGTAAACCTGATGTTAGTTTTGCTTTTATTTAAAGTGTATATGTATGAAATTTCATTTGAATGCCTCCATAAATAAGCTGCGCATGCGCAAAACCAAATTTTGAAACTGATGTTAAATTTTCTTTTATTCCAAGTGGGTATGTACCAAATTTCATTTAAATCCCCCTATAAATCAGAAAGTTTGCAATTCGGTCTGTAAATGGTCGAGATGCGCAAAGGGCACTGTGAATGCTGATCGATTAGGTTCAACATTTGGAATTGTGTTTTATATGGCTAATACTATGCGCATATTGAATTTCATGCAATTCGGTTCATAACTAACGGAGATGTCAAAAGGGTCTACTTTCTTTTTTGGGCTACATTGCCAATTCACGAACTCCGATCTACAAATTTGATAAAGAATCCACCTGCAAAATTTCATCGTAATCGGTCTATTCGTTTATGAGTTATCGTGCTAACGGACGGACGGGCGGACGGACGGACGGGCGGACGGACAGACACAACAAAATTATAAACTCGCTAGGAGCTCGTTAATAATGAAATAAGAAGGGAATGTGACAATAAGGCTAAACAACAGTGGAAGTATGCAGGAAATGTACAAAACGGCAAAGACACTGACAAGAAAAACCAAAACCAATTATTAAAACAGACATAAACAATCAACACGGTGAAATATCATCAAGTATAAAGCAGAATAAAAGAGTATGGGAAGAATATATATAAGTAACATATGAAGAACTCTGTGAGATTGGGAGAAGGCATTTGACAGAGTCAACTGAGTAGTATTGTTGGATGTACTGCGAAACATTGGGGAAGAAACTGAAGAAGTGAATATAGGAAGATGAGTGAGAAAGGGTGTCCTATGTCACCGGTGCCTTCAACATCTATGTGGAAAAATTATCAAAAAGGATTAAGGATTAGGATGGTAAGGGCAAGACTTATACGCAAACGAATCAGCAGTATTCGCAGAAACAGAGAAGGAACTACAACGAATGATGGAGAAAATAATATTGGTAGGAAGGGAGTTTGGAATGACGGTAAACATCGGCAAGACAAAAATAATGCTGATGAGTAGAAAAGATGAAGAAGTAAAGATACAGTATCGGTAGTGTTATAAAATAGAACAGAAGTGTACAGAGGATGTAAAGAGAAGAATATATCAAGGAAAGACAGCATTCGAAAAGGTGAAAGGATTCCTTACTGCGAAGAAACTACCCATTGAACTGCGCAAAAGATTTGTTAAGGCCTTCGTTTGGAGTGTTGTCACATATGGATCAGAAACGTGCATTACGCATAACAAAGCAGAAAGGTACTTAGAAAGCTTTGAAATGTAGCTATAGCGGAAAATGGCACAAGTGGATCGAAAGAGTGAAGAATGAAGATGTTTTGAGAAGAGTGGGCGAGGAATGAAGTTTTTTTATCAATGCGAGGACGGAAAGGGGTGTGTATAGCAGAGTTGGACTGGGTCAAGCATAGAGTGACCCAGTGACCCGGTGACCCAGTTAGTTTACTGACCCAGTGACCCGGTGACCCGGTTGACCCGGTGACCCAGCTTGACCCGGTGACCCAGCTTGACCCAGTTTGACCCGGTGACCCAGCTTGACCCGGTGACCCAGTTTGACCCGGTGACCCAGCTTGACCCGGTGACCCAGCTTGACCCAGTGACCCATTTTGACCCAGCTTTAGTCAGTGACCCGTCTTGACCCGGTGGCCCAGTAATTAAATTATTGTTAGGTATCATCCAAAACAATTTCAAGTAACTTTTAATTTTAAAAAAACATCCTCAATAATATTCGGCCACAAGCACGTAGCCCAATTTCATTCAAGAGAACTAATACCTAAAAAAATCAAATGCATTTGTTTATAGTTTGTAGTCAAGTATCAATGAAAGTATTTAGAGAAAAGATTTATTTGGATTAAGCTAACTAGTAGAAAAAAATTAAATGTGAATGAACACCTGTAAGCAAACTGGTAAGCCCTGAAGCAAAGAAATAACATTATTCTAATACAATTCGGCACATGGAAAGTTTTTTACGGCAGTATTAAAGCAAACATCACAGAAATGGCAGTTGTCAAGCAATCGAGTATTATTTTCAACAAACCAGCATTTCATTTATTTCATAATCTGTACACTTGAACCGAGGGCACTGACTTAACTGCGTTATTCGATCAAACTAGGTGACTGGGTCGAATTGGATCCCCGGGTGAAATTGGGTCGCTGGGTCAAACTGGGTCACTGGGTCAAACTGGGTCACTGGGTCAAACTGGGTCAAGTTGGGTCACTGGGTCACTGGGTCTAACTGAAAAGAGTATGACGTGACCCAGCGACCCAGTTTAATTTAGTGACCTAGGTGACCCAGTGACCCAGTCCAACTCTGGTGCATAGGCCAAATTTTGGGATGGACTATTAACGAATATAGTGGGAAGGAAAAGTTACCACCAAATGAAGATGGAGACTCAGAATAGAGGAAAGTGAAGTACCAACTACTTACTGTCTTATATTAGAACAGTTCTACTCAATATACAGTGATATCCATGAAGAAGTAGACATAGAGACCTCCATGTATGTATTGTTTTTCCCTACTTTTAAATGACAAAATGTCTTCTGAATGATGCCCAATTTTATGCAACCAAAATAAGTCATGCGCACGTATTCTGCACTGCCATTCTGGATTTTACAATTGCATTATTGCATTCCAAACGCTTAATGGAAACGGTGTGATGAATTATATGCTCCTTTTAAAATTTCCCTGTTTCAGCGAAAGTTTATCGCGCCTTACTAAAAGAATTCACATCTTTCTGTCAATAGCTTACTTTTTAGATAGGTGTGTTGGTAGGTACTTATAAAAATATTAAGAGATATTAAATTCGGCCACTATTTCTCTTAAGTTTCTAATGGGATTCTCTCACAAAAATTAAAATGTTCAGTTTCATATCCTCCGTTAAAACCTAGGGTGTCTTATGTGCATCGCATTTAAGTAACCACTAATTTTAAAGTGATCAACCCAGAAAATAAGTCCTTACGCCCCTTAAACTGTTACTGACACTATACCATTGGCAATATCAACTTTTTCCTCAGTTGAGGAAGTCAAAGCAATAATATTCAAATTAATTAAGATGACAGCCAGATCTTCATTTGTTGTAGGAAGTTATTTTGGTTGCATAAAATTGGGCGTCCTTCAGAAGATCTTTTGTCATTTAAAAGTAGACATAGTGGAAACAATACACGCAGATCCCTATGTCTATTTCTTCATGAATACTTCTGTATATGTTTTGACCAAAAAGAATTTTCTGTAAAGTTGTTTGCTAATGAAAGGTTTACTGTCGAAAAGCGTTCGTTTTATTAGTTTTCGGTAGTTTTTGCCAAGAGCAAAGCAAGCTAACAAAAATGTTAACATTTGAGGAGTGCATACTCAATCATTAGCTAATGACAATGCTTGTATTTTTTCTATTTTGATTTCAATTTTCATATAGTTTCAAGTCAACAGCAATAGATATATATTATGATTATTAGAAAAGACCAGAAAAGTTTCTTGTTGAAACCTCATATTAAGGTAGTAACTTTGAGCACTTTCCTAACGAAGTTTCATACTAATAAAAACAGTTGGGCATTACTTTATTAATCTGACCATTAGCTTAAAGACCCTGTGCCATTATCGTCACTAATTTTCCCCCCATCTCACCTATCACGCGAGCACCCTAAATGACACAGGAACTGTGTTGCATGCAATTTTTTATTCATAACTTCATGTTGCGCCCTAATGAAGCAATTCATAACACTAATGGGCTACACTTTTACACAGATAATTAAATACTATCGTATCGTAGGAAAGACGTGCCAAAAAATTAAGGCGCTTAAAACGAGACGGACAAAAAATCGCGCAGACGAGCAATTTAAATTTCAAGAAAAAAGCACGCGCCCCCGAGTTTTAAGTTATAACAGCATTTTTTCTACTTTTCAAAGTTAATATTACTTCGCATCTCGGCTCTTGAGAAAAATCGAAATGCGGCGTGAGGTATCGGCATGTCCACACACCATAGTACAATACCCGATGTATTCAACCCTTAGATCTCCACCAGAGATCTTATGCATACAAGGTGCTTTATAAAATAGTATGCGAGCAAAACAGATATTTTTTACTTCAGGCAGGGAGAATGCACGCTTGATTTATTTCATTTTTTTGGCAATTCGCGACTGCCCGCGCCGTTTTTAAAAAAAGGTTAAAAATACTGGCGCTCTTTTTACAGCTAGATACAAGTGATTTATTTCCCTCTGAAACTCATATTTCGCGAGGAAACCTTTGCTTATAACTGAGTTTAGTTTTGGAAAAAAACTACTTCATGTCGAAAGTAAGGGTGCATTGAAATATTTTCATAGCGGCGCCAGTCTGCTGTAGGAGAGGGAACTTGTTCGACCATCATTTTGCTATTACAAAATACTTGAGTTTCAGCAGTAGGCGTAGGAAACCGTACAACATTGCAATTTCAGAAAAGTGAAGTTGTACGTGAATAGAGTTAAACGAAACAATCCATAATGATGAAAATTTTACCCCGCAATTCTTGGACTGGCGCAATGGGGAAGCTATCGGCGCATCCCTTGTAGAGTGAGTTGCGTGGCGTCATGTTCCGTAAAATATCAGTTCGCAGCTGATGCGAGGTTGAATATGATCGTATCTTTTAGACTTTCTGATAATGTGTGTGAAACAAAGAAGCGTGGCATGAATTCTGAAACTTTTTAGTAGGTTCCAGCGTACATGAATTGACAATGTGTCTTTTTGTCACTTTAATTATGGTGACTGTGATTTGTGCAAAGGCTTGTCCCCACGCGTGTGATTGTAATGATTTCCTTCGCGGTCCTTTACAAGATGACAGTACTTACACAAGTGTTACCTGTAGGAGTGCAACGAACGTGACAAACGAAATTCCGACATCAATCAACAAGTTAAGCTTTCATAACCTGTCATATATTGACACCAAAATTGTGTTAACACATAACTCGCTCAACCACGAAAAATTTCCAAAATTGTCTCACGTAAGTTTTCTATACTGCAATGTATTGAATTTGTCGTACGCCAATTTAAATGGACTTTCGAAATTGAAATTACTGGATTTATCACGTAGTAAAGTAACGCATTTGGAAGAGCCATTCAATATCACAAACTTAGAAGCTTTAGATCTGTCAAGTAATCGGATAAGAGTGATTGCCGATAATGTATTTCACAATCTCTCCTCTCTCAGGACGTTGAATTTGAGCGGAAACCTCGTTGAGCTCCTTAATCAAACTATATTCACGGGGATGTCCAAATTAGAAAGTTTAGATCTGGCAGGAAACAGATTGTCGATATTTAAAAGCGAATATTTCATTTCGTTATCCACACTTCAATACCTAAATTTAAGCAACAATCTGTTACAAGTGCTAAATGAAGCATGCTGCGACAGCCTCCAGCGGTTACGACATTTAGATGTGTCTCAGAATCGTTTGGCACGCGTTGCTCCTGGCAGCTTACAACTTCCGAGTTTATCTCATTTAGTGCTCGCTGAAAACCCGGCGCTCGGAAGATCACGTAGTCCATCACTTCTTATAGGTCTAGGCAAACGTTTACAAAATGTGGATATTTCAAACACAGGTTTAATCAACATTCCGCCGGCGATTACTCATTCCATAAAAATCCTGCGACTATCCAGAAATTTCATCCGTTACATCGGATGCGGGCACTTAGATTCGTATCCACTTTTGAAGCTGCTTGACTTCAGTTCTAACGATCTTGAAGTCATCGAAGACGACGCATTGGGGCGCCTAGATTTGCTTTCCGAATTGTACCTTTCAGACAATAAACTACACTCGCTCCCCCGACATTTACCGGAAAGTCTAAAGAAGTTATTTCTGCAACACAATCAAATAGAATCGTTATCAAGAGGGGATTTCAGAGGAATGCCACTTTTACAAACACTTACGCTGTGCGACAATAAAATTAAAGAAATTGAAGAAGGTGCCTTTACTGAGTTGGAAAATCTGTCCACTTTAGATTTATCTCGAAATCCCATTAATGTCTTGCCAGCAGGAGCTTTGGAAGGCCCACGTCAACTGCGAATTCTTCGTCTTGCCAATCTCAGCGTTACCTCTCCGGCGAAAGAGATGACTTTTCCTTTACATACGACCGAGCATTTAGTCACGCTGGACCTTTCCAATAGTTCGGGATTAACAACGCAATTTGTTGCAGACACCGCGGCGCTTGCCGCATCTCGAGAGCTTCAAGAACTTCATTTATCAGGTGAACAATTAAAACACATTAGTTCTGACTTGCCGAATTTTCTACCCCAGTTGAGATTTCTCTATATATCTAATAATCCCATTAATTTCACTGGTATACAGTGGAATCAATTAAGAAATAACACGAAGCAAAGGCACGAGTATACATCACAATTACATTACCAAAATCGCTCAAATGAAATGAAAATCGGGGAGAGATTTACGAATGACAATTTCAACAACTTCACAGAGGTGAATGTAATTCAAACTGAAAGTGCTACCGCTCGTATAAACAAACCAAGCAAGAGGCGTGCAAATGACATTCCGATCGGCAAGTCAAATTTGAAAATGAAGAAACGACAAGAAGAAGGCAGTGTAATTTTTAAAAATGAAACTGTAAACGCGGAGAAAGTAATAATGTATTCCGTGACAAAGGGACATCCGGGAATTCTGGTGTTAGTAATGATCATTTTGAGTGCAACAACAATCTTTGTAGTGGTCATATTTAAATCTAGAAAATATGTGAAACGCTATCGACGTCGACGCAACGACAATGAGGTAAGAAATATACCTAACGTAACTGAACTTTGGTGACATCTACAAAAATTGGACGAAGAGAGTATTGTACTGTACGATACTGTAATTTAATGTGAAATAGTATTAATGTGATATAATATTTGTACCTATAGTTTTTCTACCAACTGTAAAGTTATATATTTTGAAAGCTGGTGTAAATTAGTGAGTGATATAATATATTAAATTTATAAGTAAACGTTGTAAATATGTCATGCTTATGTTTACTTGTGCCAATTGCATGGATAGATACATAGATAGCTACATAAAACGCCAAAATGTACCTACTGAAATTTGTACTGACAATTGAAACAATTCCAAAATAATAAATTGCGTTCTTACCTCTATGAAATTATTTGTAACAGTCGCAATCAGAAATTTATTGTGGCAGAGTTTCACATTTATTTTATTGAACCGAAAAATATTCCATATTCCGAATGCCGGGAAACAATCTTCGGAATTCGGAGGAAAAATCTCAAAATAAACCAGAAGTCTCAAAGAGCCGTCAATTGTCTTCCATTTCTTGTGAAAACTAAAGCACTACCATTCTTTCATAATTCAGACAATTTTTTTAAATAAAATAGAATTTTGAAAATACTAGAATTTTTCAAAAAAATCTCATGGCGCATATCTTCAGCCTTATTACGTGTACTGTACAATCGTGTCTCCAATTCTAGTACAATTAAAGTCCATGTTCCCAGTCACCATTTATTAGAAAAAATGATATTGAAGCAAAAATGTTATATTGCTTTTTAAATGTTTTTATCAAAGCAAGATTTTGTTCTAGTACCTTTCAAATTGGGGGGGGGGGGTTCATTAAATGGGTAACTTTCTTGTTGCATTCCGGTTTTTGTAGTGGTTCAATACTCTCTTCTACATTTTCCCGTATTTCTTCCTCAGTTGTAGAACGATATTTCTACCTAAATTTTATTTTTCAAAAAACCCCACAAAAAGAAATCAAATGGGTTTAACTGGGGTCAAAATGCTTGCCATTTTATTGGTCCCTGCATCTCCATCTAATTATTAGGTACCGGATCATTTAAATCATTTCGAACAATTAACGCATAATGAGCTGGGGCACCGTCTTGCTGAAAAATATCCGTCTTCTGAGGGAATATTATCCAATAAATCTTCCAGATTCCACACGTTAAACCCAAATTCGCTTCATCGTCAACGGTGTCATTTTGATAATTTCTAGGCCGAAGCTGGACAAATGAACCACCTAAAGTGTATAATATATTTAACAAAATATAATTTAATAACAGTAATAAATAACAAGAATTTACCGTCTAAAGTTTTCGAAATATATGCTCAACGGATTTAAAATGTCACCAACATGAAGAAGCCAGTAAAATCTACAGCTGTCAAGTATTTTTCATAGGCTTTAACGAGGCTTTAAATTTATTGAAAATGACATATTATATATTTCCGGAAACCTCGCAAAACAAGCAAATGTTTAAAACCATGGCCAACTATAATTTCCATTTAAAAAAATCAACTTCGAGTTACATTTACTAAAAGGGCTAGAAACAAACGACTGGCGGCAATTATTTCTACGTTAAAAAGTGCCGGAATGATGCTAAAGCGATTTTGTTGTAGCTTCAAAAATAAAGGAGTTATAGCAAATTGAAGCAATCGGTCATTTTTCAGTTTTTCTCTTTAGAGAAGAAACAAAAGACGGCAGCTTATTTCTGGTAACGGTATTGGAATAATCATGAAAAAAGAGGCGCTAATAAGAAAGTTAACCAATTAATCCCATCGAAATTGGACCACACTGTACAGTTTTGTTCTTTTAGTCAACAGTTTTGTTAATAATCCATTTGAAAAATATATCTACTTGATCCTTCTGGAATGTAAAATAAATAAGTTGTAAATCAGCATATGCATGATGAAAGCGCATTTTTGGTAATGCAGATCAGTGTTTTAAGTAAGTTTAAAATTAGCGATCTCACGAGTAATCTCAAAATAGACTAGAGCCTGCACATCTACACTATAACAGAAAGATTTTAGTGAAAATTTAAAGTCTAGCAATTGTAATTCCTGAGATCTCAGCCGGACAGCCAGCCAGTCAGCCATAACGAATATAATAGCGCAATTTTTTTTTCAAAAATGCGCTAAAAAATGTAGTACCCAAGTAAGTACCATGGGTCATTAATAATATAAAATGCCCTTATTTACCCACACAAAATGACAAAAAGGTTGTGAATGCAAAAATATTGATAAAAATAACTATACGTCAACACAGGAAATCCATTTATTAACAAGAATGCCGAACGTTACGCATATCGTTACCTTTATGCGATTAGAAATTCCATATCCTTCTGGCATCTATATGCTTTGGGAATATTCTGCGTGCGTGAAGGTATCCAGTACACGATAGCTATCACGTCCCAATATATCAGTACTCTGTAGTACTGTTCGAGTACTATCCGGCTCATTTGAAAGGGCTTGGTGCAAGGATTCCGTGCGTATCGAACTTTCTTATTTATAAAAGCATTTAATGAAATTTGATACGTAGAATAAACGCATATCTAACATTTTCCAAATTGGGTTCTGCGCATGCGCAATACCAACTTTTGTATTTACGAAAACATTTAAATTAATTTTTTTATATTTGTAAATCTTAGGAGACATCGGCAATAGGCCGCGGTTCATTTGAAAGAGTATGGGGCAAGGATCCCGTGCCGGTCCCACCACTATAGTCGAGTCAATATATATAATTTTTTTTTAAATATTTTTTTATATTTATTTTTTCTTTTCTTTCACGATGGGTATTTATGAAAATGTCAATAGTTTTTATTCAAAATTTCGTATCAATAGTGGCTCCCGCAGTCGTGATTAATAATTATTTAAATTGTTTAAACAACGAAAAAATTTACTTTCTAAATGGTTTTTTTGCAATATTCATTCAGCGCAGACAGTCGCCTCACTATTAGTTCGCCAATTCATTGCACGCCGCGGAGCGCCCGAAACTCTCCTGGCCGATCGAGGAAGCGTTACGTCAACTAAAGAGATTCGGATTGGAATTTGCATATTAACTTGATCCAGACTGCTTATAGAGGTAAGCACGCCGTTCAACTGTGACATTAAGCCGAAGGGGTTCTACGACGAATTTGAATTAAAGTGAATTAACTTGAATTAATTTGAATTAACATGATTTAGCGTGAATTAATTTGAATTAACGTGAATTAATTTGAATTAACGAGAATGAATTTGAATTAACGTGAATGAATTTGAATTAACGTGAATTAGTTTGAATTAAGGTGAATTAATTTCAATTAACGTTTTTTTTTTAATTAACGTGAATAATTTTACTTGAACTTGTTTATGAGAACGCGACCCTTAATGTCAAACTGTAAATAAAATGTGTTAATTATATGCTATTTAAGTCGTCCAAATTCTCTAATGCTTTGAGGTTGCCCATTTAAAAAGAAAATCTCTTTTACTCTCATACCTGATATAAATTTATGAACGGTACTAAGAATATTACAGCTAAAATGTACGCCTAATTCAAATAGTGAACTTCCCCTTGACGCAGTCGTATAAGTTATAAAATTAGCAAACTTTTGAACACAGAGAATTCATCGATTTGAAACTTCTGAGTTATTAATCGAGGTTGAAAACTGAGATCGAGATTGAAATATTCAAGCTCTCGACTATTTACAGATTAAAATGCGAAACGTCACAAGCTTGATGATGGGTAACGTATTTGCAATAGAACAGCTTTAACCGTATCTCAGTTTATGAAACGACCCATTCGTTTTGCAATATTGTTAAAGCATAATCAGGAACGGACACAAAGCACCTTTTAATCCTGCAGATGAATGCCAGGTTCATAAACTACTGGACATTTGAAACAGATTATGGATTTGGTACTTTTAAAGGTGATCAAATATTTCGCACGTAATTTCCTGGCGGCGGCGTTGAAGTGGAATTAAAATGAAATTTATATTTTATGAATATTTATGCACGAAATGTTCATCGTGTGGCATATTTTTGGCCGTAGGTTCGAATGATTTAAATCATAGCAGTATTTACTTAATCTACTGCAGTCGTCGATAAAAAAAAACTTTTTTTTTATTTGAGGCAATCATAATTTTTTGTTTTTAGAGCATTTCTCAAGACGCCCGCGTTAATTTCGTCCTTCCGTCTGGGAGTGCAGATCTCAGTTTTGAGACCTCGGAGGAAGATATGGTTTATTATTATTTAAGACCGCGTAAAACATATATTGACTTGGTTAAATAAGTATTTAGACTCTTATACCCGATCTTCATAATACTCACACACTGCCTAAATTTACCCACCTGCTCTACCTTTAGTTATTTGTGCATCGTATTTTAAATTATATGTATGTGTTACCGGCAAACTGCCAAATCCGGCATTTCGCGAAATGAGGAATGCAACAGACAAAGTGGGAAACTGAGCTGCAGTTCGCACTTTGCCTGCCGCTCTTTAGGGATTTCGCAAATTGCCTAAACATGCAGGCAAAGTACGAAGGCTTCGTCATTTCCCACAGAATGCGCATGCAGCGTTGCCATTGGATGGTAAATGACGCGACGATTGCGATTTTATTTAAGTACCTACTCGCTAAATATTGCGCTCACGCTTAGACTGCATTTCTTCTATGGGTTCTCTGTTGAGTCAAGCTTTGGATTTGCTGTGGAGAATATATCAGAAGGGGGAAGGTACTAACGCGACGGTTTTACTTTTGGCACCGCTGTACGCGCAATCTGTGGAAAATAACCGAGAATTCTCACTTTGCCTGAACGTTTAGGCATTTTGCGAAATCCCTAAAGAGAGGCAGGAGAAGTGCGAACTCGAGTTACATTTATCGCTTTGCCTGCTGCATTGGCCATTTCGCAAAATGCCTAGGGATTTTGCAAAATGCCAGATTTCGCAGTTTGCCGGTAACATATACACAATTGTAAGGATAACCCGTGTTCGGTAAAAATTTTGCTTTTCCTAGTGTCAAGTCATTCGAATTATTGATTCTTTCTGAGTATTAATTACAGTTTAATATCCGATTGGCTCCGTGTCAGACGTTAGCATTGCAATTTCGCAATATTTTATGTGCCGCCCTATTCACTACAACTTCAACAAGGTGGAGTTTTTGAGATGGATCCCGTTAACCTGAACACGGATTTATGTGTAGATCTACAATCAAAAGTATCATAAAAACCTAATTTGTGCAAAAGCTGCTTTGTCACACGTGGTCAACTCTTTCGAAAATTGCATAACTTTCTCGCTCGTTTTCAAAAAATCAACAATATCTCCTTTTTTTAAGTATTTGTAAAATGTTACTCGGATAGTGAATTTTAATAATATAATAATTTTGAAAATTTTGGAG